TAATAATAATAATAATACCATAAAATAAGGGGAGATGTTGCAGAGAGCTGGTATGACAGAGGAGCATGTTAGGGATAAGGTCAAAGGGAGGCATGTGATCTGCTGTGTTGACCCTTAAAGGGAGCAGAGAGCAAGAAGAAGAGACAAGCTGAAACACCTTGTTTTAGACAGACTGTGAACTGAAGGGCTCCACTAAGACTCACCATAAGATGAATAAAAATTTAAACTCTAAATCATCCCAAGATACTCTATTAGCCCAAGAGCAGGAATATGGATTTTGAAAAGAACATATTCACTCCCCTTTCTCAGCCGTGTGTCTTGTTTTTCCTGTAGTTCCTTCCTTGTATTTCTACGTTCTTGCTTTCTGCCATATTTCCTGTGTCTGCCTTTGTTTTCGTGTGCAGTCTGTCTCCCTATTGTCTCCTTGTTTTGCCTCCAGCAATTCAGAACAATGTTACCGTAAAGGGAGAAGAGCTAAACCAACTTGCTTCAGACAGAGGACAAACTGATCGGCTGCACCAAGGCCCAGTGTAAGATAAACGAGGATTATTTTGAACTGAAATCACAGTTACTCTTGTAAAGCCCAAGAATCAAACTATGGAACTGGAAATTTGCCTAATAGCTTGACATTAATCTGTTCCATTTTTTTCACTGTCAAAGTTGAGCACATGTGAAAGATCTGAGATGAGAGAGTGTGAAACCACCTTGGCCCACAGTCAGTATGTGGAGAAGTGGATTTAAACTGAGCACTGTGGATTTTGGGTGATTAAATAGCTGTTATTTTGCCAGAGGTTCCATCAAATGATTCTATTGTGACCTAGTCGTCATAATTTGAGTCCCACATCATGAATATTGATCAGAGCTCTGATGTTAACTGACAGAAAATGCAGCAGATTGAATCTTCATTTCCTGGAACCTGTTCCAAGAAACTAAACACAGCCATCTGCTCTCTGCCACTACCCCCCCAGCAACAACGCACGGCAGCCTATCAGGAGGCGCTGCACAACAGAGGGGGAGGTTGTGGTGGTGCCTCCTGGTGGCTATGGTTAGAACTGCAGCTCTTCCCGATACAGCAAGCGCCTCATCTCACTTTTAACAAGCAATAGAGAGAAAAACTGTTTCTTCTGTGCAGCAAAATGTTTCTTTACACTCTGAGAGCAGGAGGATTTAGCACTTCTGCTATTAAACTGGGCCTATTGAGCTTCCCTGTAATTTCATATATATATACTGTTATCATGACCAATGCTCACATTAAACAGTAGGATATCCTTAATTCAATTAAATTTTATTTATATAGCGCCAAATCACAACAAAAGTCGCCTCAAGGCGCTTTATATTGTACAGTAGATCGTACAATAATAGATACAGAGAAAAA